ATATTATTTCTGGAAATACTCTGACTTAAACACCACTGTTTTCCCCCGCCACCCTTCCTATCCTCATCTTGGGCTGTGCCCTTTTCCCAACTCAATCACTTTCTCCCACTTAACGCTCTTGGTTTTCTCAGTTGACTGCTGCCAAAATATACTTTCAGGGATTCATTTACTCTAAAGTGTGAATAAGATTTCTGTCCAGGGGGTTACCTTGTTTCCAGAGATCTTCATTTCAACTGAGAATAAACTATTGAAAGGACTGTGAGCTCATATAGGTCTTGACAATGTCCCAAGTCATATACCTTCAATTATTTGAGACTAAAGTGGAGAAATATATTTGGAGTCATGGAAAATGTAGGTATATTTCTACATAAATACATATGTGAGTAAAAATGCCTTTTAGTCATTGAATTGTCTTTTTTTTTTTTTTTTTTTTTGGTCACACTCTTTCCTAAGCACTATGCCCTGTGGATCCTAAACACATACTTATGTGTTGCCACCCATTTTATCTTGGGATGGTAGTGAAGCTACTGGGTCATCTTTCTGTCACTTTAACAAAATACCTGAGATCATCAACTTATAAGGGGGAAAATTTATTGTTGCTCACTCTTTGGAGGTTTCATTCCCTGGTCTTTAGAGGTGAATGGRGGTGAAACCTGGTGGAGCCTAGCAGACTTCCTGGGTTGAGGAGAAAGAGCTGAAAGACCTGGGAGACTCAGCAAGAGTTCATAGGACAGAGTTCCAGAAAGAGCTATATAGATAGAGAATTTCAGAGCTCTGAAGAAGGTCCCCTCCCACAACTGTCCAGGTGAGTACTGATCAGCATATGCGTGTTAGGAAGCTACCAAATGTCCAGGAAAGACCCAATTGAAGGTGACAGTACCCACAGATGGGAAATATACTGGCTGCTTCCACCAGCCAGACTGGGAAACTCATGATTCACAGGGTGCTGAGTCGAGCACACAGGTGGATCTTTTCTTGGTAATAGGGACTAATTAGCCCTTGATTGATCACTGTTTTGGTCTCATCTGAAACATTTTCAAAGCAAGTCCTAAAAGGATCAAGCTGTTTTCAAATAACTTGATTCTGTTTCAGAACAAAGTTTAAGAATGTCTGATATCCAAAGGTTATAAGGCTTGGGAAGAAGAAAGAAAACACAATCTATAAGTTGGAGGGAAATTTCCAAACTGACCTTGAATCGACACAATTGTTAGAATTACGCAATWAGAACATTAAAAAGATTGTAAGTTTATTCTGTCTATGTATATACTTAAAATGAGACATTGAAGATACAACAAGGATCCAAATTGAACTTCTAGAGGTGAGAACTATAATGTCTGAGACGAAAAAACTATACTGGAGGGGACAATTGGCTGATTAGGTAAAATAGAAGGAAAGGCTGGAGAATTTGAAGAGATAGCTGTGGAAACTATCAAAAATRAAACATGGTGAGGAAAGAAGATACTAGTTTTAAAGAGTGGACAAAGCACCAATACACTGTAAAACAACTGCAAGTGTCCTCCACACACGTGTAAATGAGGCTCCCAAAGGAAAGGCAGTTGGGGATAGAAAAAAAATTTTTGAAGAAAAAAAAATATTCAAAAGAGATGGAAGAACTCAAAGCTCTCCCGTGGAAGAAAATGAGGGGATCACACCAGGCATATTATAGTCAAATGGTTCAAGAGAAGATCTGAAGGAAACCCTTGAGAGCATCAGTTAAGAGAAAAACACAAAAGAGAAAAAAAAAGAATAATCCAACCTGTCAATTTAGATTTCTCTATCTAGTCCACCCAACCAAACCTTTCAAAAACAAAGGCGAAATAAAGACTTTCTCAAATATTTAACACTGGAAGAATTCATCCCCAGTAGAACTGAACTGCAGAAGCTAGTAATGTGAGTCCTTAAGGGAGAAGGAGACAGTATCCCATGGAGATATGATCTATACAAGGAATGAACAGCACCAGTGATGGTAGCTACAAGGGTACATACATTATTTTATTATTACTTGATTTAGGTATCTTTTAAAATGACTACTTAATCGCTTCTCGGCCTTTTGGCTAAGATCAAGTGTAGTAAAATGACTACTTAAGCAAACAAACAAAAAAAGAACTATGGAGTGCAGGGCTTAAAAGGCAGTAATGTAAAATAGCTGGTAATAATGGCAAAAAAACAGGTGARGAGAAAATGGAAGTAAGTCTAGTAGTGTAAACTGGTTTTGTTTTTGCTTTGTGGTACTCAGAATAGAATCCAGTCCCTTGTATATGCTAGGCAAGTGTTGTACCAATGAGCTACATCCCCAGGCCTAAAGTTCTTACATATGAAGTGGTATATTATTTGAAGGAAACCTGTAATAAATTAAAGATATATGCCATAAACCCTAAAGCAATCATTAACACAGTAGTGGTAAGCTAGCAATGAAGATAAAATGGAAAAAAAAAGAAAAACAATTTAAAAGAAGGCAGAAAAATAGAAGAAATAAAGAACATTTGGACAAATAGAAAACAAACTGCAAGATGATTGATTTAAATCCAACCATATTACTTAAAGGGGCTAAACACATTTATGAAAAGGCAGAGATTGTAAGACTGGATAAAAAAGCAAGACTCAATTGTTTGACTACAGGAGATAAATTTTACATATAAAGATACAAGTGGGTTTACAGTAAAAGGATAGAAAACCATATACTATATTAACACTATACAAAGGGAAATAAGAGTGGCTATATTAATACAGTATATTTTCAGAATAAATAATACTATCAGGGATAATGAAGGTAACTTCATAGTGATAAAGATGTTGATTTGTCAAGAGGACATAATCCTAACTATATTTACCTCTAATTACATAGATTCAAAATACATGAAAGCAAAAACTCRTAGAATTGTAAAAAGACAAATCCACAATTGTAGCCACTCTCAATAATTGATCACAAGCAGGCAGAAATTAGTAAGGATTTAGTAGAGTTGAGCAACACTATTAAACTTCTTGACCTAATTGACATTTATAGGACAGACCACTCAATAATATTCTTTTYAAGTGCATATGGAACATTTATACATCATTTAATCACTATTTCCAGTTACAAGCAAATAAAAGAAGGTACGAAGAAGTTAGATAACTTTCTGAAGGTCACAGTTACTAAGTCACAGCTGGGCTTGAACTCAGGCTATCTGATCCAGAACTCTKAATCACTGGGCTTTACCACCTCCCTTGAGCACCTGGAATAGCTCAGTAATCTATGACTTAGAATGAAATCCTTTTTAAATAAACAAAGGAATGGACTACTCAAATAGCATTCTCTAAATACTACTTGGAAAGGAAGTACATTCCCTCTCTCCTCTCAAATTCCCACTCAACCCAAATGGCCTGTCTGCTTCCTTTAAGTGACATGACTTATAGGTATCATAAACTTAGGTCCCATGGCCCCTGGGTCTGAAAGGGAAGACAGTCGTAGACTATAAAAAGCGACTCTTCCTCAGGCTGCATGCGTGAAGGATGGGTGGTCTAATAGACATTCAAACATAGATCAAGATGCCCGATTGTCGGTCTTTGTGTGCCCAGATCCAGACAACTCCTTTTTGACGAAATACACTTTTATTAAAATGAAGCAAAGAATCCTTACCCATGGTTGACTTTCTTTGCTTACCCTGTTAAATCTGTCATTAGAATTATAATGTATATAATAATTACAATACAGAAAAAAATCCTAATGTTTTCCAGGGTCAGGTTTCCTTATTTATTGGGGGGGGGGGAGAACCATAGAGGGGAACATTTTTTCAGTGGATCTTTGGCTGAGACCTGAAATATGGTGGTTCTATGGAAGGAAATGAGAAATGGGAATATTWTTCTGCCTCACCATGCTATGAAGAGGATTCAAACCGCTCAGCAAACGTGAATCTTGATAATGTAAAAAAAAAAAATCGGATTTCTCTGTAATATGGACTCGATGCGTCTCATTCTTTTTTCCACACCCCTCAGTCCCCTTTATCTTTTCTACTCAGCTTCATCCTCTGTTGATAATCCACTTTCGTGTCTTCTAGTTGCTCCTAAGTACAGTGACCCCCTGCCCCRCCGTCCTTGCTGTCTCCTTCAGAACCCCTAACAGTCCTTTTCCTGTCCCTCCTACTTCTTGCCCCTCCAGCTCTCCTCGGGCCCTTCCYGGTAGTTTCTCGGTCCCCAGGGAGGTGGGACAGCCTTGGTGGGGTGCAGCCCAGCAGAGCGAGCTTTCCAGCTCCCCCTCCTGGCTGGGCCGCGCTGTGGGCTAAGGGACAGGAGGCTGGGCTGGGACRTCTTGGCTTCTGCGGGGGAATTGGGAAAGCAGTGTCTGAAGCAGCGTTGTCCACATTAGAAAAACACAATTCCCTTTGTGCTACTTGGTGCCGTGTCCTCAGTCTGGGTCTTTGCCACACGGTCTCGAAAGCCATTGTTCACCCTGGGGTTCTGGTAGGTTAGCAGCAGCGTGGGTGCTGCCAGCGCTCCCCGGGKACTGAATTGACCCCAGAATCAGTGGGGGGAAAAGTCGCCCTAGAGGGTGGGGGCTCCGGAGCGGCGGCCGGGGGGCGGCAACTGGCCAATCAGGAGGCGMGGCCGCGCCGGGCTGCCCCTCCTCGCCGAGAGCCGGGAGCAGTGCAGAGCGGGGAGCTCGTCTCCGGCCCAGCCGAGGGAGCGGCGGCGGCGGGACTTGGAGGGCGCCGCAGGCTCAGAGCTGCCCCCGGGGCATGGACCCCGTGCRCTGCCCGCACCGTGTTGCACGCCGCCGGGGCTCCGCCGGCAGATAGCCGCCCAGGAGGACACCGCGTCGGGACAAAAGCGGCTGCATCCCTGGCGGAGGGAGTCGGGTTTGGAGCCTGCCCCCTTCTGATTCTCGGCTCCAAACTTTTTTTTTTTTGCTCCTTGAGCGATCGCAAGAGTCTGAGTTTCTCTGGGAGGAAAATCTTTGCTGTTGTTGAGGAGGACTAAGCCCAGGGCTTAGGCACTCAGGAAAGGAAAAAAAAAAAAAAAAAATGATTTCCCGGGAAGTTGTCCACACAGTTTTCCTGCTTGCTCTTCTGTATTCTTCCCTAGCTCAGGATGCCAGCCCCCAGTCGGAGGTCAGGGAGGAGGAAATTCCCGAGGGGGCTTCCACCTTGGCTTTTGTATTTGATGTGACTGGTTCCATGTATGATGACTTAGTTCAGGTCATTGAAGGGGCTTCCAAAATTTTGGAGACGTCTTTGAAAAGACCTAAGAGACCTCTCTTCAACTTTGCTTTGGTGCCTTTCCATGATCCAGGTAAGGGACATATTTATTTTTTATATTTGTATGTCTCATGATTTTATTTTTCCTTCTGCTATGAAATTGTTTTTTTGTTAGAAAGTTTCAACACTTTTTTTTTTTTAAATATGTCTGAGTACACTTGTAACAAAGAATTGCATCTTGCATCTGGGTTTGCGCTCTAATTCCTCCTTAGGTCTCAGCCATTGAGTACATGACCAGTTTAAGGAGCTTGAACCTGGAAATGTGGACTTGGGAAAACCAGTACCAAGAGTCTGCTACAACATCCAAATCAGAGTTTGTACTTTAAAGCTACAGAAGGTGTAATTGTCAAGGAAGCCTTGGCCGTGGATACCAAGCAGCAGTGCTCACTAAATGTGAAGAGCGCACATTCAGGTTGAACAACTCTCGCATAAGGGAGGGAAAAAAACCCTGATGTGTGCCACATGAGGAAGCCTGTAAGTCAGAACTTCTAGAGGAACTGGAGACATGAGAATAAAAGAGAAGCCATTCATTTTCTAACTCCACCTATTCATCTTTGCACCAAGTCATTTAGTTAGATTCATGGATGTGTGTAAACATTATGTCCATGTCTCATGCAGTAGAAATGTAATTTGGTATGCCTGTGCTCTTTAAAGGTAGTTGAAGCAAAATAACTTTATTTTGTGCCCTAAAGCTATGAGTTTCAGCTGCTCCACTGCAATATGATCCTGTTTACTTTTTTCAGTTTCTCTTTAAAGTAGCACCTCTCTGTGAGGCTTATAGGAGCCCTCATTGTCATTGCTGAGGGTAACATTACAGGGGGAGTCCTGGGGCTTGCTTTCTAGTGTCCACCTGAGTTTCATTAGCTGCCCAGTTAAAGAAACAGAACAGCCAATTTCTTAAATGTCCTCCCCCACTGCTCTCCCACATTTTTCCTGCTTTTGAAAGTCACTTCACTGAAAGACTTTGATACAGCCTCTTCACAGTGAGAGCATGATGTTGACAATCTTAAATTCTTTTCTTTGTGCATATGGCAAACATTTATGAGTTCAGATTATTTTTAGGTATTGAATGTGGTAGATTTCAACTATTTAAAAAGCACTGGCAGATATTTAGAGAGCAAAAGAATTTTCTTGGATTTTCATGTTCTTTAAATGATGAAAACAGTAACATCTACTCTCCTGGGATATACACATATCTTAGTAATTTCTATATTTATTAAAGATTTTTATATTTGAATAAAGAATTTGATAGTCATTTGCTGTGTTTACTGTTATGATTCTTCCATTTATGAAATGTCAAGATACCAATTATGATGTAGTTCTAGGCTTTTGTTATTTTGGAATAACTTAAATACATTTCTTCAACAGGGATGAATCTGAAGTTGGCTAATAACTGTTTTCTCTAAATAACATCATCATTTGCTTTTCTCAAAAAAAAAAAACTCTTATGAAATTATGTTGTAGGAAACAAAATCCAAAATTTGCTTCAAGTCATAAATRGAAAGTGGACTATCATGAGCTCTCAAAGTGCTATGCAAAATTCTTATAACACATTCTATTGCTGTGGGCTCTTCTCCTATTGTCATCAAATGGGAAAGTTTGCAYATCACTATAGTTGATCTATAGTTTAGCAATCACAGTTCAAAGTTGGAGACTTGGCATGCTAATAACCGATGACTAATAAACTAGAACTTTTTGAATTAAGTTATATGAGAAAATCATTTATTTAAATTGGCTTCATGAAATTGATTGTATAGATAATTCAACAAAATGATGGATTCTGTTTCCACTGTGATTCAAAGTAGAGGGGAGTGATCAAGAGTTTATCTTATCTAACACTATTTAAAATGTTTTTGAAGATAAAGTTAAAACATTATTCACCATTAAGTTAGTATTCACTTTAGTAAATTGGATTATCTTTGCATGATTTTTTTCTTTGTGTGTGTGTGTGTGTGTGTGTGTGTGTGTAGCTGTTCAGTTTTGATTCTCTTATCATTGGTGATCAGGTTGGAATGACAGGAAGGCCTTGACTATAGACGGGGATTGTCTGTTTTACTGAGTGATATTAGAAAACTCAATGTACATTTTGAATCTGTTTCTTCAATGCTAAAGTGGGAGAATTGGATTTGAACCAAGTTCCCTTCTCATTGTGATGTTTTGTGATATTTTGTTTTGTATATAGTTTTTCATTGTTCCTAACATATTTGTATGGTTGGGTGATACAACTGACATGGAAATTAATTAATGTATAGAATTTAATATTATGGGTATGGTAACGAGCTTCAGTGCTTATAGGCTGTTGGCACATACTGTGACATTTGGCTAGATAAAATAATGAAGTTCTGGGAAGTAGTCTAAGGCTTTTGACAAGACTTTAGGCTTTCACAGATGATGGCCTTGGAGTTCTGCATTATAGTGTGGGGTGTTTGTAGGTGGGGTACACTTAAAATACACGAGCAACACAGAGGAGGAAGAATGTCTGACCTTAAATAGCAAGGGGATAAAGCCAGGGAGGGAGGGTGTGTGTGTGTGTGTGTGTGTGTGTGTGTGTGTGTACACGCGCACACGCACGCGCGTGCAGGGAGGCCTGGTGGAGAACCAGGAACACCATCAGCCTGTGAGGAGCAGAGAGAGAGACTGAGATGACCAGGGGCCAAGGAAAAGGAAGTCAACATTTCAATGTTAATGAGGTTCTCATAATCACATTTAATGTATTTTTATTTATTTATTTATTTATTAGTTATTAACATTTAATGTATTAATTCGTAACTTTTTTTTTTTGGATGTAATCCCCTTACCATACAATTCATCCACTTACCACCTACAATTCTGTGATTTCTGCTCATTCATGGATTGGTGCAACTTTTAGAACATTTTCATCACCTCGGAAAGAAATTCATACCTTTCATACCTTTAGTGATCAGCCTGCTAGCCTCCCATCAACCCTGCCCAGCCCTAAGCAACCACTAATCTGCTTTTCTGTCTCTCTAGATTTTCCTGTTTGGACTTTGATGAGTAGAATCATGTAACCTGTGGTCTTTTCGTGACTGGCTTCTTTACTTTAGCATAAGGCTTCCAAGGTTTGTTCATGTTGTAGCCTGTGTCAGTACTTGATTCCTTTTTATGGCCAAATGATATTCCATTGTATAATAGATCATATTTTGTTTATCTATTAGTCCAAGATAGATATTTGAGTTGTTCCCACTTATTATGAATAATGCTGCTATAAATATTCATGTACAAATTTCTGTGTGGACGTGTTTCCATTTCTTTTGGGTGTGTATCTGGAAGTAGAACTGCTAGGCCATGGTAACTGTTTATTTGTTTGAGGAGCTGCCAAACTGTTGTCTAAAGTGGCTGCAATACTCTTACCAACAGTGTATGAGAGTTTCAATTTCTTCACATCCTCACCAACATGTTATCAGACTTTTGGATTCTTATAGGTTAATTTTTTTCAGCATTCCAAATGTCTTGTCTTCCTCAGAACACAATTTGGGGAGGGCTGATGGTGTTTCTTGACTGTAGTTCCCTTTATCACTCAGTCTCTTACTTACCCTCTCTCTAAGGTAGGTACCAGACAGAGGGAGAGAGTTTTGAGGAGTTAACTGAGAAAGAAGAACTTTTCTTTCTGTAAAGTTAAGTCTCTACTTTCTTCTCGGGGTTTCTTACCTGGCTTGCATTCCTTCATTCATTTGTTCATTCATTCATTCATTCGTTTTTCACCCACTTATTGCTTTAGGCACTGGGGATGCCAAAGGGAATAAAACAGACAATAGCTGAAGTGCTCATGGAGTTTGCATTTTGTTGGAGACAGAGGGACACAGGCAATAAAGAAAAYAATTACAATACATCTGATTTGTTTTGACGGTGGTAATCACTATGGAGAAAACAAAGAAAAAGCATTATGGGGAGTTTGAGGTGGATCGAGAGAGTGTTGGAATTTTAAACATGGTGGTTGGGGAAACTCCCAAATGAGATCACATTGGAACAAAGACTTGAAGGAGGTGCAAGAGGGAGCAATGAAGATATCTGAGAAAAGGCAGTTATAGGCAGATGAAAAGCTCTCCTGGCAAGAGGATCATGACATGTTCAAAGAACAACCATAATCCCAGAATGTCACAAGGCAGTGAGTGAGAGCAAGGAGTTAGGAGGTGAGGTCAGGCGTATGATGGGGCCACTGTAGCCTTGACCGGCATCCTGCGGGAGTTGGGAGCCACTCCAGGGTTTTGAACAGAGCAGCGACATGATCTGACTTGGGCACCCACATAATCATCCTGTTGTTGGAGACTAGCCTAAAGCAAAGCCAGGGCAGAAACATGGAGAATAAGCAGATGGCTRTTGACTTCTCTGTTAAGTTCAGGCAGAAGAGGATGGTAGACTGTGCGGGAAGTTGGTAGCTGTGGGCGTTTTGAGAAATAGTTGAAGTTTGTTCATATCTTAAGGGGGAAACCAGAAGGGTCTGATGTGAACTGATTGAGGGGTGTGAAGAAAAGACGGAAGTCAAGACCGGTCCTGAGAATTTGTCTTGAGGGAATAGAAGCACAACATGACCATATCCTGAGATGGAGAAGGAGAAGGAGAAGTAGGTTTCAGAATGGTTGGGGGGGGGGRATGAGAGTTTAATTTTTAAAAATGTTTTAGTTTGAGATGCCTTTTAATATCCATTGGAGATGGGAGAAGTCAGTTGGATATATGAGATTATAATTTAAGGGGAGAGGTGTGGGTGAGAGAGAAATTTAGGACCCCAAGGCATACATGTAGATGGCATTTAGGGCCTTCAGACCAGAGGAGACCATGAATCAACTATTGGTGGAAAAGAGAGAGGGTTTGAGGAGCCAGCCCTTRGACACTCTCAAGCTTAGCGGTAGGAGAGGTGAGGATGAACGGGCAGAGCAGCCAGGGAAATTACAGTTAGGGAGGCAGGAAAAGAATGCATTATCCCAGAAGACGAGAAGAAAGTGTTTCAAGGAAGGACTAATTGGGAAGTTAGGAGGAGGACTGGGAATTGGTTAGTCAATTTAGCAATATGGAAGT